TATTGTTTAAACTATGACAGGATCACAAGTAATTGAAATACATTTTAAAGATACTGTTATTAAGCTAATGATTTTTAGTCATGCATGATTTTACTCTGAAGTGAAGACTTTTGACACTGTGTAAACCTGGTAATGGCATACTGCAAGCAGAAACCACAGATGCTATTCAACATCTTACGATGCTCCTGAGAGCATCCCACTGGACCAACCACAATGCATGACATAGTCACTTAGCCCAAAATGTGAATAGTACCAAGGTTCAGAAGCATTACTACTGAAACTGCTCCAGGCATGGATTTATGTTTCAGAAAATATTTTATTTATATATCACCAAAACAGTGCAGTTATCAATAAAATAAGAATTCAGAAATAGTACAATGGGCAGGATGTTTGAGGTGGTGCCTTGTGAGAGTCAGGTAGAAATCTTGATTCTGGTCCTTATGCTATTATTTAGCCTCTCAGAGTTTGGTGTGGTTTAGATGAATGCTTCCCCAAAGCTCTATATGATAAAGGCACGGTTTCCTGGATGGCATTATTAGAAGGTGCTATGCACTTACTTATCAGAAGTGTGTCCTTTTGGAAGGCCTTTAGACCAATGTCTGTCATCTCTGTTTTCTGGATAGTGAGGTAAAACTTCTTCCACTAGGTATACTTTCACCAGAGACTCAGAAGCAAATGCGTCTATTCAATTTTAGACTGAAAATTCCAGAATTGTGAACCACAGTGAATTTTCCTCACTTACAAGTCATTCACTTCAGGTAAAGTTAATTGCTTCAGATATTGAACACAACCTCCATACCTATGAGCCTAAGCACACTATTTTTCCCTGTGTAATTTAATAGCCTCAGGTATGTCAAGAGAGTAAAAGAAAACTGGCTAGTCAAGCGATGATAAAAATTTTAGTCAAGAGTGCCTCAGTTGAGTTGATGTGCAATATCAAAGGGAAAAATCTATGAGGCCTAGCTCTCCTTAACAAACTCTTGGGTGGGAAGAAGGGGGTCCTGTGCATTTAATGCTCCATTTCTCAAATGGCTGCCTTTCACCTGAATAGCTTTTAGGGTACCATGACCAGGATCCTGATAGCCCTGGTGGCATAATGGCCACCCACTCACAGTTAAGAGTGAATCTTGAACAATCCTATTCAGCTCAGCCTCACAGGGGGCCCAGAGCTATGGTTAAAATTAATTCCCCATGTTCAACTCACCTTTCACCTCCCCTCCTTTGTCCTTACCGTTGTATTGTGTAGAGGGAGCAATCAGAGGCTTTATAAGGCATATTTGTCAGTGTCTGGATGATAGCTCTGAGCTGATTCTCTTTTTATTTCCCTGTCCTCTTCCGTAGCCTTTCTATTTTCAGGTTCAAAGAAAGAAGTGACTTTTGAGTTCTATCTCCCAGAATCAAGTGATAGAAGATCCCAATTGCTGTGGAACTATTTCCATTTTGGATACTCACTGATTCACAAAGAACCAGGGCTACATGCTCTGTGCCCAGCTGGGCTCTCAATATTTCACAGTAGGATGTTTCAGTAAAGCCAAGCAAACTCCTATAAATGACTGTGAAAAGATTCAAGAGATGACCCATTCATCCTGTTGTGCACTTGACCCCTTTGGAAGTGCTGGGAAGGAGTGACTCCCAAGAGTGTGTCCTCAGAATGAGGCAACTACAGTGACTATTTGGTAGAAGCATCTCTATATTAAAGAACTGCCTCTTTAAAATACACATTATTCTTAATTGCCTCACGAGAGCACCTTGCTGTCATGATGGGAACAACTTGGACACATTTGTGTTAATATTTGTTTTCTTCCTTAAGTGTAAATTTTCTACCCCACATTTCATGACTACTACCTTTGTGTGGCTTCCTAAACTGACCTTTATGGTAAGATATTCCTGAACTCTTCTTGATAGCTGATAATCATTGGCTGTTGTCAATATAACATAATGATTTGGGAGAAAAGAGGACATGTCTTTTTTTTTTTTTTTTTGAAATTGTGTCAAGGTTAGCTAAGTTGGTGGCTTTGTTGCTTGATAAGACACAGAGACCATTGTGGTGCCAAGTTTAAAATAAACTAAACTTTTTAATATTGTGTGATGATTCCTTAAGTTTACTTAAATGGATTTTGTCAGCCTCCTAAGACAGAAACTAAGATATTCAAAGTCAAGGAACTCTTAGGAAGTCTTGAAATACAATATGCCTTTAAAGAAGGAAATTAATCTAGGGACATCCAGATTTATGGTTATGTACTTTTCAAAATATCTCCCCATTAGTTTGGAGGCAAGAGTAGGAACTGGATTTAATTAGGAAGAGGATAACCTGATCTTGATTTGATCATTTAGTTCCTTTGTAATTGTGGGCTAGCAATAGAACATGCCTAAGTGTCAGCTTTGATTTGAAGTGGAGAATAAAAAATATCTAGTTTATCCAACTCATAGGCTAGCAAATACTCAGAATGAACCATGTGTAAAGTGAGCACATCTGGTGATGTAGATACCATTTATTGTGTGCTTACATGATTACCTAGCCTTTTGTTGAACATTGCACATATGTTCCTCTCACTGAACCTGAGCATAACTCTCAAAGAATTATTGCATCAGAACTGAAAGTCAGTGGGGTGGTGAGCCTCAGTGCCTTATGGAAAGTCTGGAACTAGATTACCAGCTAGGGAAAGTGGTACTTGTCTAGAGGACCAATATAAACAAAAGGGAAAATAGATGAGAAGATTTGAAGAAGGAATTTGATCCATTCCCAATGTTAAAGTAATCATCAGAGGAGAAAAAAAATCAGAACTGTTAAAAATTCTTATCCTTATTTCATAGTTCAGTGTTATTGTACCTTGAATTATATATGGGGAAAGGCACCAAACATTTTAATATTTGGGGCATTTCAATGTCTTAATCCAACTGCCTGAGATGTACAACTGGAAAAAAACAAAACACAAGTTCTCAATTCATCAGGTGGCTCTAAGGCACATATTTCTAACTGCAAAGCTCTACCTTGCCCAACAATAATCACATTTATTACAGCTAACTGAGAGTTACCAGTGATGATAATAGTCGACAGAAAAAGCACTGTCATTAAAGGAAGGTTTATTCTTCTCTGAAAGACTGTAGGAGGCAACCCATAATTTACAACTAATAACACAAAGGAAGAGGCACACAGCAAGGGTCACTGGTGTTCTTAGGTACCTGTGGCTTTTAAATGACCACCCCCAATGCCTTCTCATTGCTGGCCACACATTTGTGGATTTTCCATTGGATCTGAGCTAGTGGTTAACATCATCAACTGAGAGAACTTTGAAGTTCTTAGCAGAAGTACAACAAACCCTATAGCAGCAATTTTAGTGCCAATGGTAATAGGATTGGGGAAGGGGAGATGGTTTTTTGTTTTTGTTTTTTTCCTGTGAGCAAATAAATGAACAGCTTTTAAAGTCTCTGGTGTTTCACTTTCCCTTCCGTCCTCTACTCACGATCATATCCCCCAGGATTTAAGCAAGAAACACTTGAAAATAAAGTCTACTGGTGTCCAGGGAATGTGGATGTGGATGAAAATTTACATTAACTTCTAACACCTCTGGCTTCCTTCAGATGCTCAAGGATAACCTCATGAGGTTTTTTTGTGACAATGTGAGATATTCCATGAGAACTCCATCACTGTCTGAGCTGGCTGTTTGGGTGGGAGGTCCAAGATGACAGATATATGAGTAGATAGGGTAATTGATGAATTAGTATATGTATTGCTTCAGTGCCTTGGGACACTTGCTTCCACAATTCTTAAACCAGAAATATGGGGATTCTGGATATTAAAAAGAGAACCAAGCAGCACAAACTATTGATTGTCTTTTAAAATGTAACACTGATTTAAAGCATGAAAACTCAATCATTGCCTTTAAGCTATTGAGAGAAGTATCTTGGGTCACAAGTACACAAGTTTACTGTGAGTATTTCTTTCAGGCATGATAATCATTAACTAAAATGCCCAGAATACTGAAAATGTAATTTAAGCTCCATTATCAGTGTGCTCATCTCACTGCTGAAGAAGTGAGAGGAAACAGATAAAATTGGGGGAATTTGGAGAATCAGATAGTGAGTTAGACATACATCTTGTTCACATTAGTGAGAAGTGCAATCTCCTAAGCTATTTTCTGTCATCTGTCCATTAGGTTGCAATGCAACGAGTAAAAGCCCCTTGCTGGGTATTTTACCTTCTTTTTTGGTGCTTTTATGGCCAGGGCTCAGGACTCTTGGTAGGAGACTTGAGAGATGAGAGAGGCTCCTAAGGGACTATTTGAATGAGTTCCTTTAAAGAAGCCAACCTTGTCTTTCCTGCCCTTGATTCACCATCTGGCTCTGGGAGTTTGCTGCTGCACACTCCAGGACTATGAAATCCAAATGCATGATTAGCCCCTCTGTCTCCTGTGCCAGCATGCTTGCTAGGAAAATCACTGCTAGGACCAGACTCTAAAGAGCAAAACAGGCTCAGTGTGAGTGAGAGAAAATCACTTGGAAAATCAAATAAATAAATAAAAAACTCTATCCTTGGTTTTACTCATTGCTCCCCTGAGTTAATGCTCATGAATTCAAGTTTAATAAACTAGCTGGTATATTCTTTCTGCTGCCTCTTGCCATCTGTCCCTGCAATCACACCTAACAACTTAGCACCACATAGACCAGATATCCTATCCATTATCTTATGATCATCAACAATTCTCCAGAACAAGGATGATGTTCCTTTCTTCCACTAGAAACCTTATAATATTTATCTTCAGTATGAACCAGTCAGGCAGCATTGGTCTAAGGTTTGCAAAATAAAAAGTTCAGTGCATAGTCAGAAACTCTCCAGAAGTGGCCTACATTGCTCTAATACTAAAGAAATAACCTTCTTTCTCAGACAAAGTCTATAGATGTCTGCTTTGCATATATATTGGTTACGGTCATGAAAAAAGATGTCCTCAGTATCATAGGTGTCAGAGATGATTGGGGGATGCCAAAAGAGAAGATGTTACCTGTAGGATAATGTTCATTCACTGGCCAGTTGTCAACCTGAAGTGTGGCATTGCCACCATTCCTGGTGAAGCGCACCACGTGGTATTTGCCGTCATTGACTGGAGTTCTCTCTTCTTTGATGGAGATGTCAACTGTGCCAATATTGAAGACAACTCCAATTTTCCCTTGTTCCTGTAATAAAGAAACACAAAGGGCATGATTGTTACTGACTACAGTGTTTACTCCCTTTAAAGTTGATCCTCCAACTAGCAATAAACTTGTAGGTGCCCGGAGGGAGCTGTCAGTATGAAGCTAATAATAGTATCCTATATTTCTCCACAGACTTTCATCCTAAACATTAAAAAATAGGATGAAGCCAACCAAATTGTTCTCACTAACAGAACAGCACAAGTTACATCATTCAATGGCCTTTGGTGAATATCGATGCTAGTGTGGCAGAACTTCTCGACAGTGAAACACTCTACTGAGAATTGTATTTCTGTGAGATGGATTGGGCCTGTCTCTTAAGAGGAGTTAGTAAGACACTGGCTTCTGTATTATTTCATAATTCAAATTCAGGATTAAAGAGTAACTATAAGCTTACCTGAACATTTTGGGATAGTCAAGGCCCAGGGGAAGCATACCAGAAAGTTAGGAGACAATAGCTGAGAAATTGATATTGTAGACCAAATCCTTGATGTTTTCCATGGTTCCAAACACTCAAAAGATACTTTGCACAAAGGCAGTAAAACTGAGCAGGAGTTATCAGAACTGGGCATTACAAATCTGGGAATAATGGTAGCCCTATAGTTCAGTTAATCTAGAGATAAAGTAAATACTCATTCTGTAGCTTTTGCCATACAGTAGAAGGCAACATGGATAGCTCAAAATGACTTTGGGGGGTAGAGAAATTGTAATGGATTCTAGAAGATAGATGTTATGGCAAGGAATATGAAGATGATGGAGATGATGAGGGTGGAGATGAGATCATCCACCTCCAGGAAAATGCCCGGAAATGTGAACTATACATCACAATGCTATTAAGACTCTTACCATTCAGTAACTGCTTATGACTAAGATTTAGAACTGGCATTCACGATGAAAGAAAATGAAAAGTGGCCTTCCTGGTCAGATTCAACCTGCTTCTTTTGACCTCCTGGAACAACATGACACCTCAGCAGAGTATCAGGAGGGATGGAGCAAGAGAGAAGGGAGAATATCTTCTCCCTTTTTGTAATTGCCTGGCTATTGGCAATAGACTGGGCACTTAGTGGTGATAAAATTAAGTTGTCATATTGACATTTACAAGACTGAGTCACAGTATTTCTTCATCAGCCTTTCTTATCCACTATTCTTTTGTTTGTGAAGTAGAAGGGGGAATGAACAAGTAAAGGAAAAGGAAGAAAAGAAGAATGGTACAGTTAAAGACCAGAATCCATATCACTTGAGTTCAAGAAAATATTTAATAGATGCTCAGATTTAGTATCCATACAACCATTCATTCATTCATTCATTCATTCATTCATTCACTCACCCAATACATAAATGTAATATTAAGTACCTAGTATACTTATAAATGAAGATTTCTTGTGGGATCAATACTGTTTTCCATATATTTTGGTACAATTCATTTCCAAACAGGTATGCTTTCTTCAACTTGCCATTTATCTTTTTTGTTCCTTCCTATATAGAGATACACCCAAAACCTGATTAAGAAAAAGTCCAGTACCCAAGAATCTTGATTTTTGAAGGGGATAATATAAACAGACTGAAGAATCATGTTGTCAGCACTCAGAAAAGCAGACCCAGGGTGGACATTATTGCTTTCTTTTTGCCCAGGGAATTTAGTGTGGAACACAAACTATTGCCTGCATTTCTAATTTTCTAAACCCTGTAAAAAATGTGTCCCAGTGCCTTCCCACATGATGACTAAGCTGACTCATTTCTGTTTATGGGTGGGTATCAATGTGATCTTGGATTTGTTTTGATTTGTTTCATCTCTTCCTATTCAACAATGTACCTGACCCTGGGAACTATGTATGGAATGGTCAATATGATGATAGGGTCTTTATTACAGTGCCAATGCCCATAATGAATAATATTACCATGCATTTCCACCCTTTTCTTTGATCCTCAGAGAATTTGGAACTGTCATAATGTATTTGCTCTGTCTTAGAGAGGCGGCATTCATTATTCATTCCTTTAAGGATGTGGGAATGAATGGGTAGGTGTGTGTTCATGCCCTCATAGGGAAATAAGCAAGGGTATTGAAGCCTGAATCAACATATATTTACAGAATGACAGAACTGGAAGACTTAAAAACCACAACTTCAGATGCCATTACTCCTCTGCCCACCCTACATATGTGGGCTGTTTATTGCATTGTGGTTCTTCCTTGAGAAACTACTATGTAAATCCTGTATGCGTGGAAAAGCTGGCTGGTGATTCGGTTCACCTCTGAGTCACTAATTAATCATGGACAGAGAACAGTGTTAGTATTCCAAAGGGATCGGAGACCTCAGTGCTCTGCAGCTTTCAATGACACTGGGGGCAGAGGACATGTCTTGCTCAGTGAGTTACTTGATGAGCAAGATACATTCTTGGGCAGATTTTCCTCAAGATCTATAATAGATTCAGGGCAAGAAAAGATTTAATCCCTGCCAGAATAAATATTTGGTCCTTATCGTAGGTGCCACACATTTGCCATTAGAATCTGGATTTCCAAAGGATCTTAATCCCAACAGCACATTGCCAAATCCAGTGTAGACCCTACCTTAGATGTTTCTCTCTGCTTCCCACAGTGGTAAATGTGGCTGTGCTAGACCTCAGATGTGGTCTCTTTATTCACAGTAATAGGATTTCATTATCATCATTTCCTTCTCATTTGTCATGGGACCACATTGGCATTATAATCCGTGGCTAACGGCTTTGTTTCAGTTCACTAGACATCATGGAAGCCTTGTGGCAAATACCCATATAGTTGCCCAGGCTTGAATCAATCATATGCAGCTGCCATGAAAATAAACTGTGGTGGTTCATGTGTCCACAGAAGGAAAGATGTGAAGGATAAACATATTAGCTTCGAATCCTTCCTCTCTGACCTTGTGGCACCTTACTTAACTCTTCTGAACCCATTTTTTTAAAAATAATACACTGTGGAGCAAGACACCACTTTTACATTCCTCAAAGGACAACTATAAAGAAATAATATGGCTTATGTGGTGGATGCTATAGCACTTTGTTCTCTCTTTTACTAGTGTGTATGTTCACATATGTGTGTTTCCAAGTGGTGTATACATAGTGTAGAAGCTAGAAGACAGACTCAGCTATTTTCTTTGACACAGAGCCTATCATTGGCCTGGAGCTTACCAATTAGTCTAGGTTGGCTGGCCAGTGTGCCCCAGAGAGATCTCACTTCCTTTGCCTCCCAGGCACTGGGGGTTTCAGATGCATTCCCTCATGCTCTTTTCGTTTATTTGTTTGTTTGCTTGCTTTTGCTTTTTGTGGGTGCTAGAAATTAAATTTGGGTCCTTGTACCTGCAAGGCAAGGCAAGCGCTCTGCTAACGGAGCAATCCTATTGGCCCCATATAGTACTATGATATATGATATAGATGAAATCAGGTGAATTGTGTAATCATTTTCCCATAAAAAATGGCCCATTGTTATTAGAGTATTTAGAGAATTTAATTGGTTCTGTAGGAGGATCATGCCTGGTTTTCAGCACAGCACAGTAGAGTAACATCTCAATAACAGTAAAGTAACAGAGCATAGTAAAGTAACACCTTCTAACACTGTGTGACCTTTGCAGATTACTTATAAAAGGATGTTTAATGAGAGGGGTGGGCAAATTGATACCCCTGAAGCCAGTGGTGGAGATTATGTGTGAAGTATCTGCCATGTGCCTGTACTTCCAGGTTGCAATATTTTACTCCTTTCTCTTCTTGTTAGTGTAATTGAAAGTAGTAATGTGACCTAAGCACTAGTTGGGTTGGCAGGCACTGCCATCAAGATCTATGGTGAAAATAAATGTAAATTTTCACAAACAGAACTTTTCTCAGGGTGAATTTCCTTTCACAATTTGGTAGTTGCTTTCTTGCCACAGTCCTTGGTACCTTTTATAAGCCTGACAAACACAAACACAATGTAGTTGCAGAAACAACATGGCTATAAATTTTAGTAACTCCATGCCCATCACCACTAAAGGTGGTATCAAGGCAATTCACTTCAATCTATTTTCTTCCTTGATATTACAAACAAAGATGAGTGGTAAATCATAAGCCATTACCAATCATCTTCAAGTGCATTCAGGGGAAAACCTGAATGATACAGGAACATCTGCTTTCCCCAGTCAGTAAGTCATTCCTTATCAATAATGACTATTTATGAGCCCACCTGGTTCTTCAAATGAACCCGGATTCAGCTACTTGATCCTCAATCAACCACATTATTATTAATATAGCCGACATAACTTCAGGGATGATGTAATCTCAAGGATGAGTATTTAGGAGCAGAAATATATATGGGTAAGAGAAAAATTTTCAGGAATGAAGAAAGAGCTCCCCAATGGCCATCTCTTCATTTGTTCCATGGTGTCTCTGGGGAAGCCAAAATGCACCATCCCCTACTTTAGAAAATTGCAGCTGACAGGAACAAAACAGATATTCTCAAATGTATACCCAGAAGATGTTCACTGGAAACATTTCTCCACGGTGCTACTGTTAGGCTGCTTATAGAACTGTTTGTTCAGTACTAGATTATAACACAACACAATTTGTAAATGATGCTTCTGTGCCTATGCAAAACAAGACCTTGGAATATTCAGGCACCTTTATACTCCAAAAAGTGGTTAAGCATTCTCTTTACCACATTTTTCTAGTTCTCCTAATTTCATGCTCACAGTAAGAGTGACTTTTGTATCCTTTTGTGATGGATAGGCCCAGGAGTTCAGGGCCAAGTCGTTATCATTGTTGAGCAACACATATAATTTCTGGTATGAGACTTGGTAGTGTCCTCCCCGTACTGTGAATCACTGTCCCAAGCAAAATCTTGGTGGTGGTTGCTTTGTCATTTTGGGTCACTGAGTGAGGGTGGAAGCAAATTAACTTACAATGGACATGGCTGAAGAACAATGTTTGTGTGTTTTGAGTAGAGTGTTCTAAGCTATGACTGTCACAACCTCAATACTCAGTAT